AAACAGACAACTTGCCAGGCTAGACATTTAGGCAGACAGGAGAGTTAGACGTCAAAGTTATTCTCAGAATAATTTCTTAAGTACACGGGTGACCTGAGACAGCAGGGAATTCTTCACTGACAGGGTTCTGCGGTGAAGTCACAGGGGATGAGAAAGACAGGACAAGTACAATGTAAAAAGGATAGAAGCTATGGTGAGGAGGTCTTGGAGAAGACATGTCCTATGCTTTGTAAGCTTCTTAAGAAAAATAGCCTCTTTCCAGGCAATGGTGGCACAGGCCTTTAATCCCAAGACTAAGGAGGCAAACCCAAATAATCTCTGTGAGTTTGAAGCAAGCATGGTCTACAGCATGAGTTCTAGAATAGTCAGGACAGTCTAGGATAGTCAGGTCAGTCCTACAGAGAAACTCTGTCCCAAAAAACAAGACCAACATAAAAAAGAGAAAAGAAGAAAAGCACCTTATATCTTGTATACTTCCTAGGAGTAAATGGAAAGAAATGGAAGAATTTTATGAAGTCAGTAGAAACTATTACACAATGGGAAAAATTTAGGAGGAGGCTAGTCAAACAATTTTACACATGGTGAACACAGGGTATCTCAAGAACTTTCCTATGTGCTGAGTTGGTTTGGAACTGAAAATTATAGCTCCATATGCTGGAAAGAGTTGGTTTTTCGGACCTGAAGAAACTTCTCCACAAAGGACTTATCCCCAGACCATTACCAGCTCTTCCAAACATATTCCTGGTTTTAGATAAAGAGCTCTGTTTTATTATCAGTACATCGGGCCCTTAGGGAATGCTCCCAAGAATGTTCTTTCGCCCTGCCTGAGGTCCTAAATGAAAGCCTTGATTGACCAGGTCAGTCCTTACCAAAACAGCATTTTGCTTTTCAAATATTTGTCACCTGATGTCATTTTGCCCATCTGGCAGAACTATGCTTTTCTTACAAAGAAAGGGGAACTTTAAGGCACACCAGGCCTTAAGGTTAGTTGTGACCCTGTAAGGCCTCCTTGAGCAGCTTGCTAGTAGCCTGTTTTTTGATATGGCAAAGGGCCAAGTGACTGGTTTTAATGGCTTCCTTGTCATGGTTTGGAGCCAAATATCTGAATATTGCGGTTGAAAAATGTGTACATGAGCATTCTAACAGTCCTGGTTAACATATACTTAGGTTTTAAATGTTTTAGATGCAGTAGAATTAGTTCAATTCTACTTTGTTAGCCTATGTATTAAGCATTGGCGTTGGAGTGCTACCCAGCACATGAGAAGCTGTGGATGACCTCCACAAATTTAAAATTAATGATGACTATATGCGAAGGTTAAATGAAAACTACTGAATGTCAAGAAGATACTGGAGAAACTAGGCCTCTCCAAGTTTGCCAATGGTTTTCCATGAATGTATCATGCCTGCAGAAATTGACTAGAAAGACGTTTGTACACACAGCTCCCTGCTCCCAACTCTCCAAACAAATTAAGCCCACAGAGCAGAGTTATTCAGAGGCCTGCCCACAGGTCCATAAATTAGCAAGGACTGCATGGGACTTCACAACATAGGAAAACTGGTGGCAGGTTCTCTCCCAGATCTGGGGAAAATGCACCTCACCATCTGGAGACAGCATTCCCTCGATCACCATGTTGTGGTTCTCCAGCCCACCAAAGCTCTCAGTTCATCATCTCCCTGCAGCAGCAAAGGCACAACAGCACATAAACCACTGGTGCCAGCTCCTCCGGAAACCCTAACAGGGAGGCAGGTCACAGGAAGAGCAATGCACCACTTCTGACTGGCAGGTCAACTGGAGGGCCTGATTGGCTAGTGAGGCCTGAGTGGGATGAACCTTCTCAAAGGGGTATAGCTTGCTTAAAGAGACAGCACAATGGTTCCTGGTCATTCCTTTCTGCTCCCAACAATAGTCTTTTCTAGATCTGCAAAAATAGGCATTTCAATAACACTTGCCCAAGCCTCCAATAGCAGACACTGCCACAATCCTGCACTCCATAGGAATCTTGCCTTTTTCCTCCAGGACAAGCTAGCTAGCTTGTACAGTGAACTGTGCTAGGTGGGTGTGGTGATTTCCTGTCCCACAGGTAGAAGGCAGCCCAGAATATTAACAACGAAAGAGAATTTTTAGATCACAAAAGGAAATGTTTGTTGCGTGATTTCATGCTGAGGTCAGATGAACTGAAGGTACATTTTACCTCGTTGTCACAGGTATTTCAGACAATCATGAGAAAAAAAGCAGGAACCCGATCTTAAACAAGATCTTTCCCCAATCAGAAGGCTGGGTAATGGCTCCATTGCTGTACAAGTTTTATTCCTGAAATTCAGAGAGAATTCCAGGCAAATGAAAAATGTTAAAGAGAGTAGGGTTCATGGAAATTTGAATACATAGAGAATAATGGAGCCAGGAAGAATGTCTTTATGAGCACTGCTGTTAGCCAGCTGTAAGCCATCTTCCTCTGTGGACTGGTGAATAAAATATACAGCTGTGTTACTACATGAACAAGACAGGTAGAATGAACTCACCATTTTAGTAGAAATTGGGCTTATGACAAAGTCTTACAAGCTGTGGTCCAGGTCATCTTAAAAATAGATGTCTACCAATGGAATTTGGAAGAATCCAGTAGATTTCTGCACAGCCTTTTGTCTATAATCAAGTGAAGAATCCAGTAGTTGTTCAATCCATGAGGTTCAATGTTTCACCTGGTTTTCTATATACATCAAAATTCCAAACAAGTCGACTCTAATGCTAATAATGGAATGAACTCGGTAGCCAGAACTTGATACCAGAGCAAAAAGAGAGCTTCTTTCTTCAATATCCTTTCTATTAGGTCAGAGGCAATCATCTAGAAGGTGAGATCTAGGTTAAAGGTGGATTATAGTATTTGTTTGGTTTTTTTGTTTGTTTGTTATTTCTGTTTTTGTTTTGTTTGGTTTGGTGTTTTCAAGATAGGATTTATCTATGTAGACCTGAAACTCATTCTGTAGGCCAGACTGGTCTCAAACTCAAAAAATCCCACTGCCTCAGCCTCTTGAGTGATAATGTTAAAGGTGTGCACTACCACAAAGCAGCTAAAAGTGGAGCTTGCAGGGTGGTGATGGTGTATGCCTTTAAACCCAGGAACTGGATGCAGAGGCAGGTGGACGTCTATGAGTTTGAGTCCAACCTGCTCTACAAGAGCTAGTTCCAAAACAGGGTCCAAAGCTACAGTGAAACCCTGTTGCAAAACACCCAAAAAATGTGGAGCTTACCACCTCAAATGATCCACATGAATGAAGAATTTACCTATTCAAAACCTTTAATTAAATAAAATCCCTCTTAGCTATAATCAATTCTTTGTGTAGACTACTTTAGTAAGTTTTCATGCTTCTTGTCCAGCCCTTTCTGTGCTGGGACTATGCAAGCTTTAAGTTGGTCACTGAACTCAATTTGTACACAATCCAACTTTATTTTTAAGTTTGCATTATAACCCAGAAAAGTAGGAGGGCCCCCTTTACCGGTCTACTTTTTTCTCACTGACCAGTTAAGGTCCAGCCATGAAGCAGTTGCAGGACTTTTCAGCACTTGGAAGCAGAAGCAGGATAGGGTGTGCAATGGAATTCTCAATGGCATTGTGTGTGGCCAGCCTAAGTTACAGAAGACATTGCTTAAAAATAAATAAGTAAACAACAGACTTGATTTAAAAAAATGGAAAGAAACAATGGGGAATAGGAAGAAATAAGAAATTAGAGCAATGATGCATTTAAAGGCAGATCTTTGTGAGTTTGATAACAACCTGCTGTATGGTTTGTGGGCCAGCACAGCCAGATGTACACAGAGAAACCCTGTCTTGAAATAATCCACCAATGCCTTGTTGGCAAGAGAAGGGTGATGTACACCTTTAATCCCAACACTCGGCAGGCAGAGACAGATCTCTGTGAGTTGGAGGCCAACCTGGTCTACAAGAGCTAGTTCCAAGCCAGGCTCTAAATCTACCAGAAACCTTGTCTTGAAAAAACCAAAAGAAAAACAAAACAGACAAAAACATAAAACAAAAAGACTTCAAAGTTACAGAAAACGCCTGTCTTGAGTAACTGAAAAAAAAATAGCAAAACAAACAAGCAATAAGTAAAGAAATTTTTTTTTTTTTTTGGTTTTTTGAGACAGTCAATTTCTGCGGCTTTGGAGCCTGTCCTGGAACTAGCTCTTATAGACCAGGCTGGTCTCAAACTCACAGAGATCCGCCTGCCTCTGCCTCCCAAGTGCTGGGATTAAAGGTGTGCGCCACCATTGCCTGGTGAAACAAAAAATCTTTGATTGTGTCCAGGGAAGTTAAAAGTGATCCATCACATCTGGGATGAGCTCAATTCTCGTAAGGGTTTCCAAACAGAAGTAACAATTGTATGTCAGCACAACTTGAGGAGTTTTGAAGCATTCCAGTAAAAGAATGTCCTCACACTAATGCCCATGTGAGCCTGCACATGCATTACTGTCCTCTTTTTTTGAGAAGGAAGAAATCAGGAGTATAAATATGCCTGCCAGTGTGGAATTGGGAAGCAGCATACAGAATTGGCATATGGTTCATATAGGGCTTCTTAGGACCAGGGGGCATCAAAGGAGATTTTGAAGGAGGGAATTTGTTAGATGTTAATCCTCACTCCTGGGAAAGATCAGAGATGGGCTGGATTTCATACTGAAGGATTGGTTACTTTTGTTCAGTTTCTTCCACAGGTCCAAATGATTATGGTAATATTCATAAGCTTTATCAGATTGATTACACACAAAAGTCTTACTCCTGTATGAAGTAAAAAACATTAAAACACTAAATTCACTAATAGAGTTTTATTATAGCATGATTTTTCTCATGGTTTTGAAGAATACATACATTAAATTCATAGAGTTTCTCTGCAGGATGAGTTATTTAATGTATTTACAGATGGTTGTGACAAAGGATTTACCACAGATTCCATTGACAGTTATCTGTCCAGTCTGTGTTCTTTCATGCATTTAACGATGAATAAGATGTAAAAAGTCTTCCTTCCACTGATATACATTCATAAAGTTTTCCCACACTGTGTGATCTCTTATAACTTTGAAGAGTACAGTGGTCTTCAAACACCTAACCACACTGACTACATTCATAGGGGTCCTCTCTACTCTGTGACCTTTGTACATTTGAAGATGACTGTGTTTTGCAAAGGCCTTACCAAAATGATTACGATAATAAGGTTTCTCACAAGAATGTGTTTTTTTATGCAATTTAAGAAGACTGAGACTTGTAATGGCCTTACCACATTGATTACATTCATAGTTTTTCTATCTTGTATGTGTTCTATGTAATTGAAGACTCCCATGACGTGCAAAGGCCTTTTTACACTAATAACATTCATAGGGTTTCTTTCTCTCCAGTATGTTTTCTTTTATGCAATTGAAGATGACTGTGACATGCAAAAGCCTTACCACACAAGCTACATTCATAGTGTTTCTCTCCAGTATGTGTTTTTTTATGGAGTTGAAGATTACTCTGAGCTGCAAAGGCCTTACCACACTGATTACATTCATAGGGATTCTCTCCAGTATGTGTTGTTTTATGCACTTGAACTTGACTATGATGTGCAAAGGCCTTACCACACTGCTTACATTCATAAGGTTTTTCTCTAGTATGTGTTCTTTCATGCTTTTGAAGAGTACTGTTTTCAGCAAAGGCCTTACCACACTGATTACATTCATAGGGTTTTTCTCCAGTATGTTTTCTTTTATGCACTTGAAGAAGACTGTGACATGCAAAGGCCTTGCCACACTGACTACATGCATAGGGTTTCTCTTTAGTATGTGTTCTTTTATGCTTTTGAAGATTTCTCTGAGCTGCAAAGGCCTTACCACACAGATTACATTCATAGGGTTTCTCTCCAGTATGTGTTTTCTTATGCAAATGAAGATGACTGAGTCGCGTAAAGGCCTTACCACACTGATTACATTCATATGGTTTCTCTCCAGTATGTGTTCTTTTATGCCTTTGAAGATGACTGTGCTGGACAAAGGCCTTACCACATTGATTACATCGATAAGGTTTTTCTCCAGTATGTGTTCTTTTATGCACTTGAAGATCACTGTGACGTGCAAAGGTCTTACCACAGTGATTACATTCATAGGGTTTCTCTCCAGTATGTGTTCTTTTATGCAATTGAAGATGACTATGACGTGCAAAGGTCTTACCACAGTGATTACATTCATAGGGTTTCTCTCCAGTATGTGTTCTTTTATGCACTTGAAGATGACTGTGACATGCAAAGGCCTTACCACACTGATTACACTCATAGCGTTTCTCTCCAGTATGTGTTCTTTTATGCCTTTGAAGAGATGCAAAGATGTTACCACACTGATTACATTCATAGCGTTTCTCTCCAGTATGTATTCTTTTAGGCTTTTGAAGTTCAGTTTGAGATGCATAGGCCTTACCACACTGATCGCATTCATAAGGTTTCTCTCCAGTATGTGTGCTGTTATGACTTTGATGAGTTTCATAAAGAACAAAGTCTTTATCACCTTGACTATATTCATAGGGTTTATTTCCAGTGTGTTTTCTTTTAAGCACGTGAATATAACTGTGATAAGAAAAGTCTTCCCTGCACTGCTTAATTTTAGACTGTTTTTCTCCAGTATGTGTTTTTTCATGTCTTAGAAAGTGGGTGTCATCAGAAAAGGCTTGAACACATTGCGTATACTCTGAAAGTTTCTTGTCACCATTTTGGTTTCTTTCATACCTGCAAGGATAATTGGCACATTTAAAAGCTTTACCACATTCAATACACTGTTGAACCTTATATCTGTATGAATTTATTTTACAACTTGTTCCTATTCTAAATAGAAATTAATTATTATGCTTTCATAACTCTGTTTACAATCATGTTTGCTTTTTAATTAGGGGACAGTTTGCATCTACGAAAATAGGTATGATGATAAATTCCTTTTTTTTAAGGTTTACCTTCTCACATTTACAAAAATATTTTTATATGATATTATTCATATTTTTGAAGACAACTGAATACACTGAGAGCTTTCCCAACTCTACTGCATTCATAAATTTTACTATACTGTGAATCATATTTCATTTGCTAAGTGAACTAGGACATTCAGAAGGATTTGCACAGACTTAGAATTCATGGGGCGTTTTTATATTAATAATGATTGTAGAAAACCATCAGTATTGTATACTTGAATCAAATTCAACAAGTATACTCTACATGGGAACTACTGCCTATCTTCTTTCTGATTTAAGGAGAAGTATGTTAAATCTTTTCATGTCTCTATGCTCATGAGGTTATATCAAGGGTAGTGTCTGATACACATAGGAAAGGAAGAATAATTCATATACATGAAATTGAGGTATATGGATTTGTGAGGATTTAATAACCATCTATGCACTTAAAGCTGTGCTTATTTACATTGCTGCTTTTATTTAAAAGTTCTAGGAGAAAGTGCAGTCTCATCAGAGGCACATTGTTATCAACTTGCACATGAAAATTACCTTGCATGTCTTCTAGAATATTGCCAATGTTCTTCAGTGTTATGGTCTTCCCCAATGTATCCTAAAATACAGGACCAGAATATATGTTATATCATTTAACAATGTGCAACACTTAGCTTATTACTTAAGTGCACCTAAGAAATATGACTGCTGTATTCACCTCATTCTTCTTTTTAAATCAAATTGCAGAACAACATCCTTAACCATGGAAAAGTTGTTTCCATATTTTGAAACATGAAGCAAATTCATTTTTACCTATAGAAATGAGGTTCTTGTAGGTTTCCAGCATTACATCCTTATAGAGATTCTTCTGGGAAAGATTCAGCAAATCCCACTCTTCCCGGGTGAAGTTGATGTGCACATCATCATAGGTCACTGCCTTCTAAAATACACCACACATGTGTAAAATGGAAAGCACCACAGTGACAAAGATGGAAATTCATACTTCTTTCAGGGTATAGACAGATGATTCTGGTGTTCCTTACTCTTATGCCATGACATAGACAGTCACTATAGAGGGAAATTGAAAAGCAGAGTCAACTCTGTCATAAGAGCAAGGTCTATTGAGAGGAAGAGACAACAGAAAAGATCAGCACTATATAGTATGCATGAGAAAATTGTATGAAGAGTTACAGACCACACAAAAAAAAGTAATATGGACACCCTGGGTATATTGTTCTATTGTGCCTTTAAACACAACACTCAGAAAACAGAGGTGTGTATATTTGTCTCTGAATTGAATGCCAGTCAAGTCTATGCAATCATGTCCAGGACAGGTGGAAGTAAACATTAAGACACTGTCTCCATTGTAAAATTCAGGGAAACAAAGAAATGGGATATAAAAAACAGAAAGGCTTTTATTGAAGTTCTTCTAAATAATTTTCCATTCACTCCAGTTCTGTATTCATTTTACTGATACCGGAAGTGTCATAATTTAAACTATAAGTCTAATAACATTTTGTAGAAAGGAACTTCACGTGTAAAGAAGTTAAAAAGCACAGATGAAAACACTAGAAATATACATGTTGGTCATGAATAATCAACAAAGAGCTGGAGAGAAGGTAGAGTAATTCAGTGTTTTTGCGGGTCTTGAATGGAGGTGGGCACATTTTCCACTACTTACATGGGGATCACAACTTTCCATTGTTCTATGATCAGGAATTCTGAGATCTTTAGATAACCTTGATGACCAGGTACGCAGGTAATGAATATCCATGCAGACATATAAAATAATCATATTGATTAAAAAAAAAATCAAATTAAGCATAACAAACCAGAATAAGTTCATGCACCTGCAATTAACTGACTCAGGCAGTATTAATAATCATAAATACATGGTATCCTGGGAATCAGAGTGATACCCTCTTGCAATTTTTAAAATTCAATATATATGTGAAGCTCAGCACAGCAGCATATACTTGTCATATAAAAAAACCCTATATTCAAGGGCTATCACCCAATAATATAAAAATGTATAGAGCCAGAAATGATGCCCCCCTTTACTTTCAGGAATTTGGAGAGCCACAGTAAGGGCTACTTAGACAAGCAAACAAAGCAATTAAAATAGCATGTTGCCAAACTCCTTAATAGCAACTGTTTCTGCTATATCTCATTTTTACCTATAGAATATAGGTAAGATATAGAATGTAGAGATCAAACCTATAATGATGGCAAAAAAATTTCCATAGAAGTAGGAAGTTGGCTGATTAATGTTAAGCACAAAAGAGTAGATACAAGTGTTAGAAAATTAGTTCATGGTATTGAGACTCATTATGTATAATGAGGAATATCATCTAGACAGGCTTCTCCTACTAAATATTCACAGGAAGTTGAAAGAAAGCCACCAAGGAGAGAAACTTGTTCAAATACGTGATCTTTTCTGGGAGGTTGTTCATTCAATCAAGTTCATTCTGACCCCAGCCACTATTGGTTCATGGTCAACAATGGAAAAATTGCATTTTGTCATTTCTAGGATAGACATGTAATGATCCTCATCTGCAATGGTCCCTACACTGTCCAAATGTGTAATGCCATCTGGCACTCAAGATCATCTGTTCACAGCAACATCTTATAAAACCTGAAAACACGTTACCTCCTTCTAATATCAATGATACAAAATCCCATTAACATTCCAAAAGAGAAAAATAAAGACACAGTGAGGGAAGATTCAACCAAGGCAAGACTGAAGCAGGCAGGACAAACATCAAATCCTGTAGCTCCCTTGTCAGATGGATGGGCTTCAGTTTCAAATGACTTAAATGGCCTTGTCCTTGCAAGTTCTCCTGCACTTCTCTCTTTGGAAACTTCCCATCACTATAAGTGGCTAGTTCTCCATGGAAGTTGTGTCATACCTTAGGTATCTTAACATCTTTGGGCTCAAAATGGAAACCACTGTGCTGTGAAATCACATTTTTACATGTGTCATATTTATTTATGCTGTGGAACGTTTGTTTTAATGATGCAAAGAATTGCTGTATTGGTTTAGCTCTGTGAAGCTGTGATAGTTTGCCTATCTAAAATAACTGGTTGTTCTAAAACATATTTGAATAACCTATCACATGACAAGAAAAAACAGGCAGGGCTGCCAGGAAAAGAGAATCAATGGGAGGGAAAATCTGGGAGGAGAAAAGAAAGAAGAGGCAACACAAAGGAGAAAACAGGAGCCTTTAAGCCATGGAGTAAGAAATAAAGAGGGGAATACAGAATAAAGATAAAGGACAGGGGGAAATGTAGAGAACAATTAAGTTAAAAACAACCTGACTTGAAACAAGCCAAAGTCAAGCATTTATAAGGAAAAAAATAAGCCTCCATGTGTGGAATTTAATTGACAACTGGGTGGCAGGCCCTAAAGGAACAAGAGAGGAAAGGAAACCACACCACATCCAGCTTCAATCCTCACAGCTTCATGCAATGAACTCTCACTGTCTCCTCACTGGGCTTCTGTCTCTGCCAAACACAGATGCCTGCAATAATGGTAAACTGTAACCATGGGCTAAAAAGCCATGATCTTAAATTTTGATTCTTTCATGTTCCCAAGACCAACACATTGCTGGTGATGCTGAGAAGTAGGGTTTTCTTTAATGCAATGAACACTAATGAGCTTGACCACAGGTGCAGAAGGTTTTGAATGAAGTAGCTTCCTGTGACTATGAATCAATTTGCTCAACCGTCCCTAAATTGAAGGTTTCTGTATATGGAGTCTTACCCTTAGGGCACCTTGATAAGCTTCCACTGCACAGCAATGGCTTTTCTGTAATGATAATAAACTCTTTGAAAATTCCTGCCTGTATTAACACATAAATGCCCTTTGAAGCTACATGTTTATTTTCATTTATTTCTGCCCTACCTGGGTACTTTTACTGGACACCTAAAAGAGTCATCAGTGATAACCATTGAACAGCTTCAATATTCCATTAAAGACATTAGCCCATTACATTTTAATTTGGCATTACTAAATTTCTAGAGCATAGGCAGAATAAAAAAAATTTGGAGCTAAAATATCCACAAAAGTCTGGATGGTGGCAACACACACCTTTAACCCCAGGACTGGGGAGGCAGAGGCAGGTGAATCCCTCTGAGTTTGAGGCCAGACTGGTCTACAAGAGCTAGTTCGAGTTGTTCCAGGACAGGTAGGACTGTTACACTGGGAATCCCTGTCTTGGAAAACAAAAAACAAAAAAACAAAACAAAACGAAGAAACAAACAAAAAAAAAACAGACAAAAGACTTCAGGTTTGGAATTTTTTTTTTTGTTTCTTCTTTTTGTTCTTTGAGACAGGGTTTCTCTGTAGCTTTAGAGCCTGTCCTGAAACTAGTTCTTGTAGACAAGGCTGGTCTCGAACTCACAGAGATCCACCTGTCTCTGCCTCCCAAGTGCTGGGATTGAAGGCGTGTGTTACCACTGCCCAGCGTGCTTGGGTTTTTTTAATCAAGTTTATTTTCAACTGAAATCCTATGATCTCAATACCCACTTTCTGCCATTACATTTTCATTTTCCTGGTCTTACTAGAACAGTTAATTATGTTCAAGTTTCTATTTTTTTTTTTTTTTTTGGTTTTTTGAGACAGGGTTTCTCTGTGGTTTTAGAGCCTATCCTGGAACTAGCTCTGTAGACCAGGCTGGTCTCGAACTCACAGAGATCCGCCTGCCTCTGCCTCCCAAGTGCTGGGATTAAAGGCGTGCGCCACCACCGCCCGGCAAGTTTCTATTTTTTTGTCACATAAAAATCTTGATATCTGCCTCAGTTGGTAGAAAAACCCCTCATGGTCCTGACTTCTTTGCTCATCTTCTCCCTCCTTCTGCCTTTCAACAGGAACTTGGAAGCTCAGTTCAATCCTCTGACGTGGGTCTCTGTCTCTATCTCCATCCATTGTTGGATGAAGATTCCATGGTGATAATCAAGATAATCATCAGCGTGACTGTGGAGCAAGGACTGTTCAGGCACCCTCTCCCCTGCTGTTCAGGCCCTAGCTGGGGACATCCCCATGGACAGCTTTGATCCCCTCTAGAGCCAAGTCTCTTGCCAACTTTAAAATGGATGCTTTAATGTAGCTATCTTCTTCCCTGCTCCTATATCAGCCCTTCCTCCATCTCCACCTTCCACCTCCCACAAGCCAGTCCTTCCCTTCTCCCTTCCCTCTCGGCCCTTTCCCCCAACCTCACTCCCATGCCTGTCCCCTCCCCCATGGTCACAACTTTTGCCCTGCAATCTTGTTTGCTTCCAATTTCCAGTAAGATCTATAAATGTTTTTCTTCAGATTCACCTTGTTATTTGGCTTCTCTAGGCTTGTGAACTATAGGCTTAATGACCATGGTTTATGGCTAGAGTCACAAATGAGTGAGTACATACCATATTCATCTTTTTGCATCTGGGTTATCTCACTCAGGATAGTGTTTTCTATTTCCATCCATTTGCAAGAAAAATTCAAGATGTCCTTGTTTTTTTTTTTTCCCGCTGAGTCATACTCTAATGCGTATATATTCTATACTTTCTGTTCTACTGTAAGCACACCAATTCTAGTTGGACTGGGTCCAAATGAGCATGTGATCAAACCACACTCTTTGATTGTGGCTGACAATGGGGGCTGACTGAGAAGCCATTGAAAAAAGCAATGGAACTTATTTTTACCACATGCTCTGGCTTCTTGGGACCCTAGTCTATATGGATGCACAGGTCCCTAGGCCTGGATGTAGGGGGGACGACCTTGGACTTCCCAAAGGGCAGGGTTGCCTGCCCTCTCTCAAGCAGGTTGGAAGAGGGAGGAGAGGGTGTGGAGGAGTTGGAGGGGATAGGGAAGAGGGAAGGAGGTGTAAATAATTAAATGGAAAAATTAAAAAAAAAACTTGATATCTTCCACATTGTGGCAAAAGTCATCATTCCTATATTATACTGACAAACAAAATCAACTTTTGTGTTGTAATTGTTTGTGCTAACCTGCTTTTATGCTATTGTGATTAAATCCTCAAACTGAAAGCATCTCAGGCAGTAAAAGGGATTATTTCATTGATTGTGTCAAATCACACTCAATCATTTTGGAAGTGTAGGAGAAACTGCAAGCTAACAATTGAAGGCAAAACACACTTGCTAAGACTGTTTACAGCCTTTCTCTTTTGCCTAGTCTCTACTTCATGCTCAGAATGCTCCATATCCAAGCACAGGTCCACCTTCTTAGGGGCTTCCTACATCAGTCAGTAATCAATGCAATCTATCACGGACACAGCAGTTTCTGGCTGTTATGAACAGAGTCAAGCATGTATCCATGTGGTAGGAGGGAAGAGCATGTTTTGGGAATATGCACAGAGTGGGACACCTGGGTTTTGGGGTAGATTGACTCCCAATATTCTGAGGATTGCATATTGATTTCCACAGTGGCTGGACAAGTTTGCACTGCAAGAGCAATGAGTTCCCTTTCACCACATCCTTGGAGCCTTAGCTGTTACTTGTGTTATTAAACTTATTCTTTCTGTCAGGTTTATGATGAAATCTCCCGATGGCTAATGATACTGAACATATTTTGAAATGTGTCTCATCTATTTTAGATTCCTCTACTGAAAATTCTGTTTAGAGGTGTACTGCACCATATTTGAATTATTTGGTTGCTGTCTTGTTGCATGACTATTTTTTATCTTGAGTGAGGCAAACCAGAAGTATATAGGCCAACATGGTTTACTCAGTTAAAAGTGGATATTAGTAGTTCAGTAAAGTACAACCATAGTAATCACAGT